AATCCGAGTGCTTTTGGGACGTCCCTCAACGCAGGAATCCACAGAGGGCAGAACTCTCGACTCCCCAGATAGGATCTGCAACTTGCCATTATTCTAAATGAAGCATTGCCTCCCCCCGTGTTTACTTACTCTTGCCTACGGCTCGTCATCTACGGAAAGGAGTACGTGGAAGGAGTTGGGTTCAGGGGTGAGCAAAATAGGGGGAAAGAACCGGGCTCACCGATGCTGTCGTGAAAGCAAAAAAATGAAATCGAGTGCAAGTTTGGCGGCAGACGACACGAAGAATAGCCGGCCGTGAGACGAGAGGCAAAATGAACCGCGGAGTGGAGACCGAGAGGGGGGGGAACGAGACTGCAGCAGGAGACGGCCGCAATGAGATGGCGTCGCGGAGTTCGGAGGGCGCTGCTGGCAAGGAGCCATGAAGGAAAGAGAGGAATGGGAGAGGCAGGGGGGGGGCATTTGACCAGCGGTGGGAAGTTGTAGGCTGACAAGAGCAACGGCAGCAGCAGCGGCGGCGGCGGCAGCTCGCTCGAGAGTGAACCGCAAATGAACCACAACGCCTCGCCCATCTCGTCGAGGAGCATCAACCAGCAGCGGCCTTTGGTGAACCGTCGAACAAAGACGGTCGCCGCATCGCGCGCTCTCAGACGCGTTTCTGAGGCCGTCTGGAACGCTCTTCCTTTCCGATATTAGGTAGCCACTGGAGCTATGCACTTTTAAATCATCATCTAGATTGAATACCTCATTTCTTTAGAACTGCCTTGCGTGTTCAGTTTGTTGTCATTCCCCGCACCTGTGATTATCATGGTTGGCTACATATGGTGTGAAAGAAGTTGAACATACATACATATGAATCGATGTTTCAAATTCAGGCGCTGAACTGTTGTAAGAAATGCAGTCATTAGCATTGTAGTAAATGCATAGTTTTGCACCTTTTTCAAATTACATCACAGTAACTGGAGCCAATTAGACCGTTATTACATAGCTACCTTCATGACTGCCACGGTTGATGTCTGTTGTGACTGTCGCTATTAGCATTACTTCTGTGTATGTATAGATACAGAGAGAGGAGGGCGGGGTCGGTCGGGGGAAATTTCGCATTTTGTTTCTTGTGCATTTATCTGCAGCCTCTTTACAATCTCCTGTTAAAAATCAAAGTCAAGAGCGTTTCCAAAGTCGGTGCGCGCGTCCCGATGCTCCGTCGGCGGCCACTGCTTCGCTGCTACAAAATGCACATATATCCTCATCGCGCATTCCCCACGAGGAGAATGCTCAAACGAAATGGCGAATATTACCCGCGCACGGCTAGCGAAGGCATATGAACCATGCAGCAGCGGAAACAACAAGGGCATGACAAAAGCAATCAATGGGGAATTAAGCGCAATAAAATGTTCGCCAGATGAGATTCGCTTCACCTGATGTGGCCCCTTTCAACTCGTGCCTAAGTTTTTTTGTTTCTGTGGGTGCACGGCGCTGCGATGACATGCGGCTTCGTGTGGCTCAGCCACACTTCTCGAATTCACGAGAAAAACCTATCCATTGGCACTGTGACACTGTGCCTCGAAGATTAAAACGGACATGCGATATGGTTAGGCTTTGAGTCTGCGACCGATCTTTTAACATTAGACAAATTATTTGGCGATGCTGCCGCCCGCTGCTGCTGCTGCTGCATTGGTAACGGAGCAACAAGGACAGTTTACAAAAGCCCAAATGCGTTCGTCAATAACGTTGCCATGAAAGGAAAAATATGGACCTCGTGAAAAAGAACCATTGCCTGAAACGTCTACTATTATATGTTTCTTATTCTATTATTCATTTCAAGGCAGTGCTTGTGACAGATGTGTTAAAAAAAACATTATGCTAATTGGCCCACAAAATAAAGTGGATTGCTATTGTTAAGTTGAATTGTTGAAACTTTTACACGTTAATTGTTGCTGGCGAAAATATTTTAAACGAGGGTCACTTGTCTGAAACTGCGGCAGGACTTCTCCCGGAGTAAAGTTGCGTTTGTCTTTGCAGAATTGGTCAAAACGTTTAATAAAGTACGTGACATTGCACCGTGATTAGTTGCAATAAAACCCTTTACTCGTGGTGCCACCACCATGGGAAGGGCAGGTATGTGCCACGGTGGCGAGATGTTAAATACCTCTCCTGGTATACAGGAGGTTGTGGGTTCTCAGTGGGCCTTACCTGGTAAAATAAAAATAGTCAAACATTTTTTAGTCAAGGGTGCAATGAATGGGAAAGGAGAAAGGAACGGGAAAGAGAAGGGGGGCCGGGACGGAAGTCCCCACGACAGACAATGAGGGCATAGCTCAAGATTAGCAACAGAAAGAAAGAAGGAGTGCCCGGCAGGAAGGGGAGGAGGGAGAGAAGGAATGACAGGGCCAAGATGTCGGGGACGAGAGGGTGGTGAGGGTGAGAAGGGAGGGAGAGAGAAGGAAGGAAGGAGCGAGCAGGAGTGAGCTGCACGAATCAGCGTCTGCTTTCACAGGGGGCGGCGGGGAGGGGCTCAGAGTGGGGGTGGCCACACAGATGTCACGTGACTTGCGGGAGGCTTGAACTGATGTAGATATGTAAATGCACTTTGTTTATTTTGGACATAAAATTTTGGCATTTCTTCTGCTCAAGACCTTGCAACTGCTCTTCCGATAGAGTTGAGGCTATGCTCGAACACGTAATATAGGCTTCGAATGGACACACACGTCTATTATCTGCACGAAGGGAGCTGGTTTTTTTTTTACAAATTTGAATGACAGTATAAGTGAAGGTTAGTTACGCTTGCGGAAACGGTTTGTTGATACACCTATTATCCTTTGACCGGTAAGGGCACATAACCTCCAGTTGAAAAACGCCTCTCACTTTGTACTGTGAAGTCTAATGTTAAACTACACCGGGAGGTTTGTGCGGTGAGCCGTGGGTGCTGAGTTGAACCTCAAAGAGCAATGCCCCGTTGTTTACACGCAGATTCTCAAAAGTTTCCTGGCACTCCACTGTGAACTTGAAGTAATTGCGTGAATAACGTTAAGGTGCAGTGCCATTAGTACTCGACAATGCAGCTAAAGGTGACTGCTGAACTCATCAAATCCACAATGAAGCGAGGGAGGGGGGACCCCCATTACATAATTAGCACCTCCGATTAGCACGGTTGGCTACATACGGTGCGAAAGAAGTTCAACGTTCAACAAACACTGCAGTTGAGCAGCGTTTAAATCCCATGATCTGTGACGTATCATCCCCCGTATCGCAGGCAATAGAATTAATGTGGTTTTTACCATTCCTCGTATCCAATGTGCATGCAGCTGAAGGTACAATCCCACGCATGGATTTTAACATAAATCCCAATCCTATTGCTAAACGCAGGCCTGATTAAACTGACAACCCGGTGTGGTAAATATAAAGGTGCAGGGCTGCAGTTGCTTGCTCACTCCACTGCTGGCAGAGAAGCTCCAGGGAGCCCTCCAAACAGGTGCTTGGTCTCCTCTTCCACACTGGTCAGGCATCTTGAAGGTACCCACGTTTAATTCCACCGCACGTGACCAAACCAATTGACGGTGGTGCACTGATTCACACTGCCCGGTGGACGGAGGCGATGGGAGGGATTTTAGAAGCATGCGCCATTGTCTTAACCGTCGCGCCGGTGAATGTGACCAGTGGTGGTGACCTCTGGATTGCAAGTCCGGTGTGTTGACCATTACACTAGGGCAGCGTCCCTTTGCCACTCAGTAATAACCCCACTGACGCAGCCACACTTACGCTGGGTCTCCCTCGTCCTATGAGTGATGTGGCTCAATGAGCCATTACACATTTAAATGTCGAGGCAAAATAATCCTATTGATATGTTTAAAGAAAAAAAACAGAGTCCCTGGGATATATGTCACGATTAGAACTAATGGATTTAGCATAAAGATACAAATGACGTATAAAGCTGAGAGGCATTCAAATAGATGTTGAAAGATTGACTTATATATGATCAAATGAAGCTCATCATGGACACATAATTACAAAAATTGAATTGAATATTAAGCGCGTAAAAACAAATGACAGCCAGGCACGTGAACGAGGAGGGGCAGCCGAGCGAGGCACCTGCAGCGGTGGCTGCTGCTCTGGCTTTGTGCGTGGATGCTGTGCGATCATTCCAGGCCGGCTGGCGCTGCGGAAGTTCGCCCACCTCGATCGGAAGCAACGAGTTGAACTTCCACTTAGGGATTGCCCCTTATGGGGTGTTTAAATGAGTATAATTTTGTGGGATCTCAGCAGTGATTTTTTTTACTCACTCAGGAGACTGGTTCCCAGCAGAGGAAAGTGGAATTTTTAACCACTATCTCAGGACCAAAAAAGGGTTGCAATTGAAAGAAGGAATGTGGGAGCAGAGAAGTGAAGGAGACAGTTGAGGTAGGAGAATTGGAAAGAGGAAGGAGGTGGCATAGGTTGGCAAAAGGGGATATTTATAAAGTGATCGTTGCTAAAAGTGACGGGTGAAATAGTGGTGAGAAACTTTTTACCGGAGCCGACGAGGTGGATAGTGTGGCAACGAGAGGGAGATGACATTAGTTGGGAGAGATTGACTTGGAAGTTGCTCGAGATGGAAATAAGACGCAATGCCAACCTGAATTTTAAAATGACCAGCAATGCTAGGTGGTGAGGATAGACACACGCCCGAGGTGAGATCTGAAAAGTAGGACGCGAAGAGCGGGTTTGGACGTGGTGAATGGCAGACGACAGAGAGTTTGAGGTTCGTGGCGGGCCGTGGGAGGCGAAGAGAGCGGATGTTCCACAGACGCGAGGAACACGTTGGGAATTTATGGTGGAGAATTTAAAATCGGGTTAAGGGATGACAGCATAGCCACGGCTTCCCTACCGAACGGAGCGAGGAAGTTCGAATGAGGGGTCATAGCCAGGGAGTGTGGGGGGGGGGACTGCTTTAGAGCTCACAACGTGTGTGCCAAGTGTCACCGCTCGTAACATTCACGGAACACGCCGACAGACACGCTTCTTACCTGTTGCGAATAATTGGCAGGATTCGCACGGGCCACGAGAAGGTATTCCCATTCAGGATGAGGTCCTCTTTTGACAGGAACGTGTAGTCCATCAAGAAAAGGAGGTTGTCAGCTGCGGTCTCTAACCTCTCCTGCCAAAAAACATAAACCAGAGGAGCATTCAAAAGGCGTTGCTGTTCAGTGCGCACACCTCACTAGGAGGAATATATTAACAATAATAGAGAGTGTACGTTGCAGCCGCATGGCACGGAAATAATTTCGAGTTTTTTTTTCACAGCACCATGGAGTGGCAAGAACATCTTTCAGCTTGGAGATTGAAACAAGCCCCCCCCCCCCCCCCCCCCGGCTTGCTCATGAATTATTCACAGGCGGCGCGGGCTCTCGTTGCGCCGTGTGCACTGCAGTGCTGGCGAAAACGGCAACGTCAATTTACACCTTTCAAGTTCCGAAGAGGGCAGCGGTCACTCGCATTTTCATCGGCCGGGCAAACCGTTCCCATGCAGAGTCGGAAGCTACGCCGCTGTTTAGAACTTAGCGCAGCAGAACTGGTCCCGCTAAACAAGCTACCAAAGTTAAAGGCACGGACGGCCCAAGGGCCCCAACGGAGAGGCGTGGTGATCATTTGTGAATGCAACACAGGCACCTGAGTGTCTAATCCCGTCTCGGGATGGCTTCTTATCAAAAGTATTGTGATATTTACCAGCGCGTCACGAGTATTTCTTCATATTTTGTAAACGTTATTGTTTCGCTTGCTTGCACCTGTAACACTTGGGGTGTGTTGATGATTGAGGCTCATGGCGATGACTTTGGATGAGGCATTGCAGTGTTTTGCAGTTATTGGTAGTGAGACAAGACACTGGGGTTTATAAAAAATAACTCATCGGGGTGGAGTTTGCAGATGTATTTGCACATGCAGTGAGTGGAATGATTTGTGGATTTAGGTGGCAATGCACATAGAGCAGGGGGACATGTGAATGCAGTGCATTGGCGTGGAAGGTGTTTGATGAGCTACGTGCATCAGTTTGGCAGAGCAGGGAGGTCAAGTCTCGCGTTCAGAGATGGGTGTCTGTGTGTAGGCCATAGCGCCGCACTCTCTAGCAAAGTGACAAAAAATAAGCTTCTGAATTCTGAATGGAGGTGTATGCAGAAGATGCCAGGAATATCCACGGCAGGACAGAGTAAGCAACCTGGTCGTGTGGCGTGCAACATGGCAGGAAGAGTGGGTCGCGATCGGTGGGACGCGTGAGCAGTACGGAGGTGGGGGGGGGGGGGCGTCCCACGGGACAGGCATTGGAGTGGCACTCAGAGGTCGGTAGTCAAGGAGAAGACCTATGATCACGTGGTGGTGGTGGTGGTGAGACAGTAAGTGCAGACCCTTCTATGTCAGCAGGTATCGACTTTACAGCAGCTGAGGAGGCCTCACCCGAAGGAAGGAAGTGATGGCAAGGTGTCATGGGATCAACAGTATTGATCATGATGATGACGACGCCTATTTTGTTTATGAGCACGGCCTGACATGTTCCCGTCGCGTCTCGAAGCACGGCCAGTTTTATTGGACTGCTCCGTGAAGCTGCGACGCGTAGTGTGCCCCAAACCACAAACATTGCATTCCACAGCAGTCGGAAGCTGGGCAAGGTTTGCTGATGGGGCTCTGAGCAAGAGTGAGATGGACCGTGTATCCCGTGTCATGGACTCTGTTTTAAATTCATTCTACGATTGGGGGGCCTCTTGGCTTAAAAAAAATTAGCTTGGTTTGTGAGTGAGTAAAACCTGTTTGAGTTGGGTATTCATATACTGGATGTGTATTTGCTTACTATGTGTGTATGTTGAACTTATTCTGCGCCGCACGTAGCTAACCATGCCAATCGGAGGTGCGTGGGAAGGACAACAAACTAAACACAAAAAGCAGTTTTAAAGAAATGAGTTTTCAATCTAAATGAGTGTGCAACCGTATGGAACCAGCAGCATACTCGTAAAATATAGTCAACAATTCTCAATTACAACACATTGCCAATATTTATAGTAAAAGAAATCACTTTGTGCCATCGTTTTTGATAGAATGGTAGCCATTGGTTGTTGCTAGCCAAGGCAAGACATTAATATAAAATCTTCATTATTATCACCAACCACTTCATGTTGTGACTTCCCAACTCACGATGTTCAATTTGCCAAAAGCCTCCATGCGCATTCTAACGTCTCTTCTTCGGGCCACATGCAGGAAACTTATTTGGGAAAGACTTATTTTTAGTACGGTTCCAGCATCGTGACCTTTGTGGAGTGCTCTTTGAGCGACTGACAGTCCTTTATTGCTCCAATCCCAACTTAACGGGTATTCGTGAGCGGAGCTAAACGAATGATGTTAAGTCACGTGCGTATTTGATTTCGACGTCATGTGTGGTTGCACGCGGCAATGTTTTTTTTACGGGGTTATTCTGTGACATTGGCTCAGGTATTTCTACCGGCGCAGCTTGGTGCATTATACGTTTTATTGACTCCACCAGCTCTGCATGCATGACTGCGGCAGTAAATGCTTTGAGGCCCTTGTGTTAAAAGTGGCGTGCGCGCGTGTTTGTGTGTGGAGAGAAACAATGAAGGCAGGTCTGTTACTGTGAACGGGTCTCTTGATGGTGGAGCCGTACATTAAATCAAACTTATATCGAAGCCAGACACTGGCCAATTTAAATTTCTGCGCATATTTTTTTTTCAGGACCTAAAAAAAGATATATATATATCACTTGGCAATTATTCCATTGACATCAGTTACAGATGATCAAAGCGTTGTTTCATCCGTGGAGCACAGCAGCGCCGCAACACCTGGCAGGGAACGCTTCCACGCGAGAGACACCACATGCCGCTGTTGCTTCCGCCTAACGGCGTCGATTCAATGAGGATCCTCCTCCACCGGCACACCGAGGAATTACTGGAGAGCAGTGCGTGACGTAAACACGTGGTCACTCTCAGTGTCGTTTACACTTTAAGAATCTTGCATAGTCTCAGGACAACGATGCCGGTGTGAAGTCCGAAGCTCAAGTTTCAAGTTTCATTTATTAGGTGTAGCCACGTGAGCCATGCGGCTCTTAAGTCGGGTGCAACCGCAACAAACAAAAATTTGAACAACAAAACATCTTAAAGTGACAACGCGTAACAGAAACATCCTGCAATAAACCAGCAAATATTCCACTAAAAAAAACTTATTTAAAACGCTGTGTTTTAAGCAAACTGAGGAAATAACAACGGCTGTGTTTTTTTTATTTTAGATGCATGTCGAGGCGCAGTGCCCTGAGATGTGTGATGGGAGTTTGATGGTTGAGTCATGAGTGGCAGTGTCAAAAGTGTGGTTTCAGGTGCGCCATTATAGTGCCATCTCGTGACATGAGTAGGTTACAATCGCGTTAGGTCCACTGCATTCCGAGCACGATTAGCTACGTAGGATGCGAAGGAAGTTCAACTACATATGGTGTTCCTATGAGCATACTTGTAGACGGAGGGATATCCGAGTGCACATCGGATACACCATCAACAACCGCCATTCGCCGCTAAGTGGCGGTGACGTCACCACGGCGCTTGTGCCAGGCTAAGTGCACGTTGAGGGCCATGTGAAGTGTCGAACGCCCTCTGGCAGGAGGTCACGGGACAGACCCAGGTGCCACGGGTCGACTGACTGAGACGAGTAGCCAATGCACCACCTGTGCCCCCTACTGTGCCAACTTGCTGTGCTTTAGCCACCCGGCACTCCGCTCGTTGTTGTGAGCGTCGCTCCTCTGCCCTCCGTTGTTGTTAGAGAGCGACTGCCTCCAACTGCCCAGTAGCGTCCATCGCGATCTTGACACCGCTGGTAGCAGTCATCGGCAAATCCACTCAGCTCCACATCCTCTTGTACCACATTACTCTACCATCCCTGCCACCCATTTAGTGCTATGACTGCACCACACAGCTGAAAAGTGAGGTATCTAAGCAGCGTCAACATTGTCCGACAGCCCCAACACTGGCATAGAGTCTGAACACTATCCCACAGCCCCAACTCTGACCGACAGCCCCAACAAGGACCCACAGCCCCAATACTGAACCACAGCCTCAACACTAACCTACAGCCCCAACCAACACTAACCCAGAGCCTTAACACTGACCCACAGCCCCAACCGATACTAACCCACAGCATCAACACTGACCTACAGCCCCAACCGACACTAACCCGCAGCATCAACACTGACCTACAGCCCCAACCTACACTTACCCACAGCATCAACACCGACCCACAGTCCCAACCAACACTAACCCACAACATCAAAACTGACCTACAGTCACAACCAACACTAACCCACAGCATCAACACTAACCCACAGCATAAACACTGACCCACAGCCCCAACCAACACTAACCCACAGCATCAACACTGACCCACAGCCCCAACCAACACTAACCCACAGCATCAACACTGACCCACAGCTCCAACCAACACTAACCCACAGCATCAACACTGACCCACAGCCCCAACCAACACTGACCCACAGCATCAACACTGACCTACAGCCCCAACCGACACTAACCCGCAGCATCAACACTGACCTACAGCCCCAACCTACACTTACCCACAGCATCAACACCGACCCACAGTCCCAACCAACACTAACCCACAACATCAAAACTGACCTACAGTCACAACCAACACTAACCCACAGCATCAACACTAACCCACAGCATAAACACTGACCCACAGCCCCAACCAACACTAACCCACAGCATCAACACTGACCCACAGCTCCAACCAACACTAACCCACAGCATCAACACTGACCCACAGCCCCAACCAACACTGACCCACAGCATCAACACTGACCTAGAGTCCCAACCAACACTAACCCACAGCCTCAACACTGACCCACAGCCTCAACCGACACCGACTCACAGCCTCAACACTGGGCCACAGCCCCAACCAACACTAACCCACAGCCTCAACAATGACCTACAGTCCCAACCAAAACTAACCCACAGCATCAACACTGACCTACAGCCTCAACAATGACCCACAGCTTCAACCGACACCGACTCACAGCCTCAACACTGACCCACAGCCTCAACCGACACCGACTCACAGCCTCAACACTAACCCACAGCCTCGAGTTTAACCCAC